TTGGTTGAGCTTGGCCACCACCCACCAACAATTTGGCTGGGTTGTTATAGGTTTCAGTTACCACAGTTGCAAGTATTGAGGCCTTGCTGGCTTACCACAAAGCTGCAACTTGCAAGTAGTGAGGTCTAGCATTTGCATGTTAGATCGTGTGAACCATGAGTATCTTCTAAGTACCGCGTCCTGTTGCCACCAATCCACAACCTAAGGTAAGCATTATGAGCCCGTATTCTTTGTAGGTATTACGCACTGTCTCTCTAATTTTGCTGGCAGCCGCATGCTCTGGACTGGCTGCACTCATCTATTGTATCACATATGTGAAACCTTCCGCATGTCAATGTTAATTATATGCCCGGTTTGTAGATGATTCGATAGACAGTACAAAAAATTTCATTGTAGGTTTGGAATATTTTGGGATGTGAACAAGTTGCAAAGCTCAGTTCTCCATATGAGATCAAAAAATAATACGTATTTAGTTTTGCTCAGTTTCACGGGAGGGGTCGACCGATTTTGACATGGGAGGAGTCCGTTAAGAGAGACCTGAAGGATTGGAGTATCGACAAAGAGCTAGCTATGGACAGGGGTGCGTGGAAGCTTGCTATCCATGTGCCAGAGCCATGAGTTGGTTGCGAGATCTTATGGGTTTCACCTCTAGCCTACCCCAACTTGTTTGGGACTAAAGGCTTTGTTGTTGTTGTTGTTGTATTTAGTTTTGCTCAGTTTCATTGAGGAATGAAACAGTCATATTGGCTTTTGTGTTTAGGTGTTATCTTTTATCTATATAGCACAAGGCTTGTGTGGATTTACTTATGGAACTGCAATTTGTGTTGTCTTATTCGGCATATGCTAACCAATCAATGGTATCTTTCTAAAGACCTAGGTAAATACTCTGAGGAAAGAGGCTGGTATTGATGCCTTCAAAAGGGATAGTGATAGATCTAAGAGAGTGGTGAGGAGAGCCGCGCGGAACACTTAAATACATTTCTGGTTTCCTTCAAAATACAACTAGGCTCTGCTTTATAGAGGACTTCTAAAGGATGGCTTGAAAAGGGATGGATGCAAGGATGGTGAAGATTTGGTAATAGATGGTTTTCGCCCATTTTTATGCAAATTAACTGGGCAATTCTCTTCTGCTTAACTAATAGGTAGAGGCAAATCTTTTGCCTCCGTTTCGAAAAGAAAAAAAGATTCGATCATAGGGGGATGGAAGAAGGAGCCGGGAGGAACGATTAGATACATCCTTGTTTCCTTCAAAATACAACTAAGTTCTGCTTTATAAAGAGGACTTCTAACTGATATTAGAGAACTCTCTGTAGTATAAGATGCAAACATTATTATGAAAGGATACCATCAAAACAAACAGTATACAACTAAAAGATACTGCCTCCTTTCCAGTTTAAAAGGCCTACGCGTATCTCTAGGTTGACAATTTTTCCAAACTAAGACGAGTCATAGATCGTAAATTTATACCATTAGAAACTTCAAATGTTATATTTTCCAAGTTATAATTTTTGTGATATACAATTTGCATCGCATCTACTATATCTAAATAGGAGAACCCCACTACATGATTTCTCTGCACATGCAGCCTATCCACCTCATCACTTGCCACATCAGCCTATCTAAACATGCAGGCGTGTAACGCCAGCCACCTCTTGCGTTTGGTTTTCAGCGGTAAATCACTTTCCCACTTCATGCATTGCATGCTCCTATGTCTTTATAATTTTTGTGATATACAATTTGCATCACATTGGTTGAATTGGCAAGCCCAAACTTGCATGTGACATAAACAACCTTCATCTACAGTATATTTCAGTGGGCCTCTTGACATAGCATGATTACAGTTTTGGGTAATGTTTCTGCTCACCAGTTTTGCATAATAGCAAACTGTACCATAGGCCATAGTCATGTTGGCTTCTAGTTTACGGATTACCTTCCAAGATTTGTCATCTTCATTTTATAAAATAGATTAGTGTGTCACCCAAACATGATTTTTAAATCGAATATGGTTCAGATCAGATCAAGGATATTGTGATTCACTATAATATCACAACTCTGCTATACTAGCATGGCGCGGCAATTGGAATTTTGTGCCAATTAGAGACTGTATTCGTCCCTAATAGCGAATCAAACACAACAAGAATTGTATATAATTCAGATAGTAGTTTCTGTGTCTAGCTGTGTTGCACTGAAATTACAAACATTAAAAACTGTAGAGACACCGATATTTGATAATTACAATACGTGCACATGGTATTCAAGCGCATGCATTTCAAACCCTTACTCAGTAGTTGAGTTATCTTTCTCCTTATACTCTCCCTCGTTGTTGCCTTCTGCAACTTTTTTTGACTCGTTGCATCATGTAGCCGACTTGTCAACTTTTTCCTTCTGAGCAATTGCAATCAATGTCTTGTTTATAGGTTGATGACTTTTCTCCTATAGTGCCTACTGCTGAAGATCACAATGGAAATACAGAGCGCCTGGCAAAACAAGTTTCCAGACGACAGGCTTGGCGACCGATATTTACAGGTGCTCTGCTTTTATGTATGACAGTGACATATGATGCCCTGTTTCCAGTTTGCGCATAGCACTGTTTCAATCAGTGTCAATTCCTCCACAATTTACATACCAACCTATTCTATGTGAAGAGTCTTGATCATATTCGGAATGGTAGCTTCCTTCTTTGTGGTATCATCACTTTGTGCATGCGATAATCTGATGGCGGGGTATGCAAATATCACTTTGGTCTACCAGTCAAGATATGAGATGACATGGTTCACTGATACTCAGGTTGGGAAATAATTTTCTTTCCAGCATGGTAGTTGGGAAAAGAAACTGGACTCTGTAAATCAGGGACATGATACACATTTGCTTTGGTCCCAAGCTTCAGTGTGTAAATTACCAGTGTTGCAAAATTGTAAACTCTTGTACCGATGTATAACCGGATGGTTAGCTGAATGGATATCAATTTGAGTCACTTGGGCTCGATTGTGTTGAAACTGCTGGAACTCAGAGAGCCTGAGATATCCAGAGAATGCAAGCAGAGCACGGCGCATGCACAGTACCTGTATGGGCTGACATTTCGGCGCCATAGCCTGCCTCCTGCCGAAAGCATTGCGGAGATCTGTATTTTTACTCCATTTTTTCTGTTTTGCCATTTCTAAATTTATTAAGTGAACTGGTCCTTCCACGAAAGGAATCATTTTGTAAAATAGTCATCTATCCACTGAGAGCGATGTATGTCAACTCCAATTATATGTACCTGCACGGCATAATTCTTATGGTTGGACTTGGATGCTTCCAAGCTAATCATTTTGGAATTTCTCGCTCAACGAACTTCATAATCATTCTGATGATCAGTTAGCAGTTGCCAGATTAATCTCCCCCATTTCTTCTTCTCAGAGGACCAATATTGTTGTTGGCGAGAGACAAGAATGTCCGCCGAGCGCTTCAGCTTGTAAGACCTTTCGTTGTTGTTGAGATAAGTCCAAACCTGCAATTGCATTACCACTTGGAATCCATAATTTCTAGTACTCCCTCCGGTCTTTTTTACAACGCACATGAGATTCGTGTCGAGTCAAACTTTGCAAAGTTTAACCAAAATTATCTTAAAAACTATCAACATGTACAATACCAAATATATTAGCGGGTACCGAGTAAAATGGCTCAATTAATCAGTATTCAGAAATTTCCAGGCAACTCACATCAAGCAAAAGCATTCATTTCACTAAACAAAAGGAAACGGAATGTAAGAGCAACCACAACTCCACAAGACTGGTTAGAAAATGCAGGCCTGACGTTCCTCCCCATCACCCATTCTAAGTCCAACGATTCAAAACAATTGATTAACAGTCGTCCAACCGATGGACACCCACACGCAGCACGTCCCCATGTTGCGCCAAGCAAGGACACGGCCTCATTTCTTTACGGCAACTTGCCACAGTCCCATGAGAAATGATAAGTTCAAAAATGTCAATTAGGGGGGGTGGGGAATCTCCTCTCAGATCACGATGTGCCCTCATGCGCGCCTAATAACAGCGGCATCGCTTTGCAGGCAGGCAGGCAGCACATCCCAGAGGCGAAATTAAGAAGGCATATCACAGTGCATTATTATTAGAAGATCGTGGTGCTCCTCGTGCCCAACGGTAGAGAATTTTGTGAACTGGCTTGGCTTCGATTTTCTTTTCTTTTCCCTCAACTACTGGCAGCGGCATGGCTTAAATTCCTGCGATCCCTCTGAGAGTATATTTTAATCTTTTCCCATGGAATATCTACAGCTTGAATAACATGAAATAATTCAAGTGGCAGGGCATGGCAGTCTTGCCAGACTAGAGAATATTAGTACAAGAAAGCCAAGTGATTAATAACACGATCCCCTCGATTTAACACAGGGATAGCGAGGATGATTATGTGTTGAGATAAGTACTTACTATGTACTCCCTCCATTCCGAATTACTTGTCTCAGAGCTTGTTTGATTCAAAGGAATTTTATAGGATTTCTGGAGGATTGAAATCCTTAGTATTTTTTCCTATATTGGTCCTTTGATTCATAGGATTGGATCCCATAGGAATTTTTTCTATGGAATCTTTTGTACTACATTTATCCACTCCAACCTCTTTTTACAATTCCTTTGTTTTTCCCGTGGCATCAAACAATCATTGCTAATTCTATAGGATTCAAATAGGCATGCCACTCCAACCCTACACTTTTCCTATTCCTACGTTTTCAAAATCCTACGAATCAAAGAGGCCCTTAGATTTGTCTAGATACGGAGGTATCTAGCACTAAAATGAGTCTAGATACATCTGTATCTAGACAAATCCAAGACAAGTAATTCGGAACGGAGGGAGTACTTAACATGTTTTACTAGCAGAAGAAGAAGCTGATGGATGGAGCACCGTGTTTGTGCCAGGCGAAAAGCCAAGGGAGGGAATATGCTGCTCGCCGGCAAAGGCAATTTGGGGCTGAGAGCAAAAGGAAGGGGTGGAGGAAAGGGGAGAAAGGTAGCTGGCTGGCTCCCGGAGAATGTTCATTTTGTGCGGTACGTTCTCCGTCGTGGAACGGAGTGCAGCACGTCACGCGCGCTCAATCCGCTCCTCTTGTAGCTTCCACCACCGGACGGAATAAAGCTGCGTGCTCCTCCTTTTTCCCTCGGCATCCTCGACGATCTTTCTTCTTCCTCCGTGGAACAAAACAGTATGCCATATGCGTAATGGGGATCTGGCACTGCCCGGACCGGATCGCCAGCATGGTCACATTGCCATGGCTAGCGCACTAATGATCCATCACGCACCTGCAGCCTCGTCCAAGCTGAGATGCCCGCCACGAGATGGGGAAGGAAGCATCGCTCGATCATCTCTATCGTACATATTTTGTTAGAGAAATAATCGTACTCCCTTCGATCCATATTACTTGTGAAGAAAAATGTGTATGGATTGAGGCGACGGTCGATGAGGGGCCATGTACATGATTAGCACGCCGTGGGGATGCATGCATGGCCTTTGGCTTGCAAAATACTCGTACAAATGCATGTGACGCGTCGCCGGCCGTGTCTCGTGCCGCACCGATCCCACTGTCCCAAGCCGGCCGGCGGTTGAATCTACCCTACCCCCACTCGATCATTGCGTTGCGATGCTCGACATGGGGAATTCCGGTCATATGCTCCGTGTGAAATGAGGCACCGGTACCAGCCTACGTGCATGCACCCAAAATTTGTGACAGACTTAACTATAGCACAATATGTTTCCGAGGGGCCCGGCACGCACAGGACTAGTTTTGTAAGGGCATCTTCAGCCGTTGGCCCTTCAGGGGGTGTCTAAAAGCGTCGCCTAAGGGTGAGCCGGCGCAAAAAAAGGCCCTGGGGGCGAGTCGGTCCCCAGCCGTTGGCCCCCAGGGCCGCCCGCAGGCGCGTATTAAAAAAAAGGACTGTTCGGTGAAGTTATGATAAAAACTAGTTAAATTTCGGCCAAACATGACAAATTTCGATGAAATTCGCGCATTTTCATTACATTAACATAATCTAAAAAAGAAAAGGGTTGAAGTCGTCGCCGTCGTCGCTGCCATCGTCGTCGTTGGCCTTCTCCTCCTTGACGCGGGCGCCCCTGCTGGACCCTGCCCGGCGTCACCATGGCGGACTGGCGGCGGCGCGGCGTCGTCGTCGTCGCTGTCGCATAAGACGACGACCCCGTCTTCAACGCCGCCTCGTCTCCGGGGAAGCGCTCTGCCATGGCGACGAGCTCGGCGGTGGTAGAGAGGGAGAGAGAGGGGCTGCCGGTGGCGCTCGGGAGAGGAAGACGGAGACGGAGAGAGGGGCTGGGCGGCGGCGAGGGGCGAGTATGGTGTGGGCACCGGCGAGAACCGGCGGCTTTTATAGCCGCTTCGCGCCAAAACAGTTCGCCCCGGCGCCCCCGGGCGCCCCCCTGGCGCGCCGGGTTCGGCCTGGATCCGCCGGCGCTGTTTTCGGTCTAAACCGGCGAAAATTGGGCTACTGGAGACGCGATTGGGCCGTTTTTTTAGCGCCGGCGCAAAAAAAACGCCTGGGAAGGCTTTCCTGGAGGCGCGGCTGGAGATGCCCTAAGCACCCCGATGAGCATAGTCTGCGAATACTTGTAGTCGATTCAGCGCAAAGGACCGGCTGAAACCGACAGCAATATACTACTGAGTACTGACTGCGTGCATATTCTACTCGATCAGATGCTCTTATCCTCGCCTCGTTTCACATCTCGTGCGCGCGCCAGCATCGGGGGCTGACCGGTTCTCTGAACGTGTTCACTTCGCCATCGATCTTCTGACATTTACTAACAACTGTCCGTTCATAATTAAAACTCGGGCGAACGGTTCACGGAATCACGAATGGTGATTACTACTACTAATAGCAACAGCACATCACATCACAAGATGCGTCCACGCACCATTTCCCAGTTATTGCGATTTGTGAACGTACCACTCCTGCAAGTTTCGAACTCTTTTGGGACCTCTTCTGTTAACAAGTTTCCAACCCTTTTCTTTCTCTTGTTCTTCTCACCGGGACGATCTACGTCACTCAATTACTCTTCAACTTGTAATAGCTGACCACACCTGCTGTGCGGTTATCCCTGAACGGAAGTAATTAAGCCCGACGAAGCGGTGAGATATAGACAGATGTAACCGATGAGATCGATCATCGTACGTACATCACACTCCGACAGTGTTAGGAGGAGCTGAGCTAGGCTGAGCTCCGATGTAGCTCAGCTCCGATGCCTCACTCGCTCACTCACTCACATGCAGGCATGGCATGGATTTCAGGCGCCGCGCGTGCTCACTGAAACTGAAAGCAAGCCAAAGACAAAGGCACGTAGTAGCAGCATCGAGGAGGGGCGATAGATACAGTGCACTGCATGGGAGTGCGGGAAAGCGATCACCCGCAAAAGGCACATTCCCTGATCGATCGACCCGGCCTCTCGCCTTTAACCTGCGGCTGTGTCATCGTCGATCTGCACTGCACTTTGGCACCTCTCCCGCCCGGCCAGGACCGGCCGGAGGCCATCGCTTTGCAGGTTTATTCGCATGGCATGCATGTCTCCCTTTCTCGTCTCGTACGTCCTCGTCTGGCCTGGGCCAGGAACCGGCATGGCCATGCCAAGGCCAGCCAGACGCCATTCACCAGTGAGTGTGTTGCATGCGCTGGTGGTGCACACACAAGGTACGTACGTACGTATATATGCATGCGCCTGATGGCTGATGCCCGGCGGCGTGGCGCGCTGGTGACCCCGCGACCTCAGCGCCGGCTACGTAGACGTATGCTAGTGTCGCCGTCGTTCCCCGGCAACCCTCGCTTTCACCTAGAGGAAGAGCAAAACGATGGGAGCATCTATGCGCGCGTACGTACATTTTGTTTAGTTATTGGTAGTAATCATAGGTGTGTGTAGCCAGTACGTACGCCCCCCCACGCTCCGCTGGGTTCATGCATGAACCATCTCCTTGATCGATCCAATCATTGTGTAAGATGCACATAAACTATGAATGTAACAGAAAATGCCAACGACCGAGAGAGGAAGTGCATGCGTCTTCTCTAGTTTTATTCGTGAACCTCCAGATCTGTATAGTTATAGTTAGTGGGCCGTTTCATACCGGTCGGTCGGCGAGGCGCACTTCAGGAAAAAAAAGTTTTAATGGGGTCATGTCTATTACAGTAAGGTCATCTCCTATAAATTTATAATGATTAGTTAGTAGTACTAAGTTAGTGAAGGATTTGCTAATTGCATTGGGGACAATTGACCCCAATGCCTACAAGGCAGCTCCGTCCAACTTCACGTAGATTGGTAGTAGTAGGAATTAATACCTCCTCCATTCAGATGCATAAAGCACGTGGTGAAAAATAGATATTTCTAAAGTATTAGTTGCATTTTAATTAGATATTAGTACTAACAAATTTAAGTTGTGACCACCACGTACAATGCATGTGGGCGTGATATAGGCATATTGTTAAGAGATATGTCAGGCAAATAGAAAAGAGGAAAATCAAATCAACATAGA